AGCTTCATGCTCCAAGCTGCTCGAGATCACACCTCCTAGCCGAGGTTCTTGTTTCATTAATTCGTAAACTCCAGAGCTTTGCAATCTCCACTCACATTCTTCAGTGAGTTTCCGATTTCCAGTCATCTATTTGACTCCGGTGATTTTCATATCGGCGTTCATTTTACTTGGTAGGTTCCTAAACTCTTACTTGCTATTAAGCTCAATCTTTCATAACTCTTCTGATTTACTTTGAATCTGTTTATTTGCCATCTGTTGCCTTCTATTTTCGTCTGTCTTCAAGTTTTGAATTGTTTGAATGTTCTTGGCACTTTTCTTGTCATATCTGTTTCTGTTGCTAGCATCGTGTTTGGGTCATTACTTTCTTGTTCTTCACATACTTACTTAGTGCCTATGCACTTGGCTTTATTCTTGAACTTTGTCGTTTTCTTGACTATTTTTCTCTTTTTTCATTCAATCCTCTGGCTTTCTCTTTCTAGCTCTTTTGCTTAAATCCGTCATTGTTCCAAGCTTTCAAGCTTCTGCAACTGTCTTCATTCCTCTCCTCCGGTGAAGCTTACGTCATTCTGTCGTTGTTGTCAGACTTCGGCAATTCTCATTCCGGCTTCCCTCTTTCTGGTAAGCTACTGTTCCTCCTGGTTTTATTTCTTGTTGCTTTCCAAGAAGCTCTGCTTCATTGTTAATCACCATTGTTGTTTTACCCATTGTTTCCAAATTATCTTCTTGAATACACACTGTTTTACACATCTGTTGATTTCTGCTACTGTTCTTGACTCGACACACTTGTGCAATCTTTTTATCTTGATTTTCTGATAGTTTCATCACCATTCTTGATTACGAATTACATTCTTGTTTCTGTTCTTGTTGTATTTCCATATTCTTGCCTTCGTTTCTGTTTTCTGTATAGTCTTAGAACCACGTCCCTTCTAAAATTGTTGCCAAGATAATGGTAAAGGAGCTCTCCCAGCTGACTGCCATGTTTTTTGCTTCTGAAAAATGTCTGTTGTTGGCCGATGTAACATTCTTTGCTCCTTGATTATCATTCCTCTTCCACTGTATTTGATAGCCATGTCGGGTAAATTGACTTCTCGATGCCCTGGGCTCCAGAAGTCTGTCTACTTCTTCCTCTACTGCCGACGTGTATCAACGTCGATCCTCTTGCTCATTGGATTACAAGTTTGGCCAACCTGTCGACGTTCAGTGTGGCAAGTGACCTCAGGGTCAAGCCAGACATTTCGTAAGGTGTCCAGCAAAATACCTTAATGTTTGCTCTCAAAAAAGCTTCCAATTCCCTTTCTTCTTCAATCCCATGTTCTGTTGGGAACCGCGGGTAGTTGGTGCAATGTTGAGGGAACTGCCCCCATTGCATGCAACCATGGCCTTCCTAAGACGATATTGTATGGCGAGGGCGTGTCAATTACCGTGAATTCTGTCTTGATCTTCTTCTAACTGCTCTCGCATGATTCTATACTTAGAATATTTTGCATATCTTACGTATTTTTCCTTCTTTGTGCAATCTTCTCGGGTACAATACCTCGGGTATAATAGCTACAAAACTTTTACTTCGGCAAGATACTGCCCTGCAAACTTTTCATAAATTCTAACAAGTGTGAAACATATACTACTCAATGTTAACTTTGCAAACTTTTTCTCAAGTTTCAACAAGTGTTTAAACGGTGATCTCGCGTCTAGCCTACTTGTAAATTGCTACAAATTTCAACAAGGATTAACATGTACTGTAACAGGGATCAACAAGGATTAACATAACAAGTGTTAAACAATAATCTATTTGTAAATTGCTACGAATTTCAACAAGTGTTTAAACAACATACTTAGCTTTCTCCTCAACCTGTAAATTGTTGCAAATTTCAACAGATGATTATAATGTCGGCTTAACGTTATCTTGTAAATTGCTACAAATTTCAACAAGTGTTAAGCATCTTCTTTGGTTTAACCAACCTGTAGATTGCTACAAGTGTTTAAGCAATAACCTCGGCTTTGCTTCAACTCGTAAATTGCTACGAATTTAAACAAGCGAAGAAAAACAGTAATTTTGTCTTAACTTCAACTTGTAAATTGCTACAAATTCAACAAGTGAAGATAAGGAATAATCTCAACTTAACTTCAGCTTGTAAATTGCTACAAATTTCAACAAGTGAAGATAAGGAACCATCTCAGCTTAACTTCAACTTGTAAATTACTACAAATTTCAACAAGTGAAGATAAGGAACCATCTCGGCTTAACTTCAACTTGTAAATTGCTACAAATTTCAACAAGTGAAGATAAGGAACCATCTCGGCTTAACTTCATCTTGTAAATTGCTACAAATTTCAACAAGTGGTAAACGCATTCTTCTCTCTCTGCCCCCCCAGTGTGTGAATTTAAAATCCACTTGGGTTCTCATCAAACATGTAGCTTCGACCTTGTATGTTTTATTTTTATCTTCTGGGATCTTGAGATCTTGCTCATTGTGCTCTTCTCGATCAGGTGCCAAGATCTTTTTTTTTGGAATCTTGGATCTGCTTACTCAGGTTGAGCTCTTCTTTTCTCGGACCTACTCATCTAGGCCGAGATCATGTCTTCTAGGATCCGGGATCTGGAATCCGGGATCTGCTCACTTAGATTGAGTCTTCGTCTTCTCGGCTACTTGTCTAGGCCGAGATCATGTCTTCTCGGATCCAGGATCAGATCTGGAATCCGGGATCTACTCACTCGGGATGAGTTCTTCTATACTTGAATTTATCTCCTTGAGAGCACTCATGCCCTCTGTCTTTGATCCCTTCTGGAAGGGTCTTCGTTCCTCCACAGGTATCTATCCTTCCATACCTGGAGGTCATCTTGTTTTAGTATCCGCTTCGATCTGTTGTCTTTTGGTGCGTCACCTTCCTGGTCGATGTCTTTCACTCCGTGACTCTGGTCACGAGTTTCTGTGTTGCTATTGTCTCCTTCAACATCGAGGTTGATAGATTTCCCATTCCTAGCAGGAGCGTCGTCTCCAGTCTGATCCTTTCGTCCGTCATTGGCCATCTATTCTTCTTTCTTTCCCACAGATGGCGCCAAATTTGTGAGTGATTTTTTGATCACACTGCCCGCCTAGTAATTAGCTGGAAAAGCACTGGCAGAATAGATGGCCTCTAGCTAACCTGCAACAGAATATAAGAATCCCGCGGTAGTTCAACCACCCGGGGCATCCGACGATCAAGTCAGTATATCTCTCAAAGATAATCAATTATTCAACTCACAAGCTTGAGCATAAAAAGCATACCTTAGACCCATGGTGGTGCCTCTCTTTTATAGCCAATACAATCCTAGTCCCAATAGGAGCCTGGCCCTAATGGACTTAGGATTACTGCTAATCTGGGACTCCCAGTGGGATTAGGATAAACTCTCTAAGAGTCTTATCTTTACCCAAACTGAAGTCTTTCCCTAATCTAGGACTCTTGTCCATATCCAGGTTGAGTTCCCCTTCATTTAGAATCTTGTCCCTTATCCGTTTATTCGGATTCCGATATCTTCGGAGATAACCTCGGCCTTGCCGAGATCACCTTGGCGTCACGACCAGGACACGTGGCACCTCGGCTGACACGTCAGCGTCACCTTACCACGTGTTGTACTCAGAAAATATATCCCCACAAATATATTTTTTATTTATTTTTAATTAATTAAATATAAAAATAAATATTTTGATGAAATTACTATTTGATGTCATTCAATTTCAATGAACCTGACACAATCTTAGCTTGAGAAACTGCTCCACAAAATGCTGCAAAATAAATAAGGCGAAGTGCAGTTACAAACGATGAAGAAATATTTCAGGCCAATAAAAAAATGTGATGAAGATATATTTTGGAGCACCCTCCGACTCTGTTGTTAGGAACCTTTCAAACAGCCGCTTGGACACATAAGTTTGATCCTTTTCGTTGGTATGATCCGTTAATTATATTGGTAATTATTCAGTAATTTCGGAATATAAATACATATTATTCTATATATTGTGATTGATAAAAAAAATAAGTAATTGAAGTATTGTGTTGAGTGATTGTGGAATATAAGGGACATAATGAATAATGATTGGTTAAGAGTAGATATAATTTTCTAATTATATTAATTGTAAAACTAAACTTGAATAATAATAATTTTTAGAGGAAAAAAAATATGATTTTGATCTTTATAATTTTAGGGGGGTGTTTTTTTGAGTTTTTATAAAATAAAATAAAAATGTGTAAAAAAATAGAGAAAGTAAAGAAAAAAGGATGTTGATAGATGTTGATTAATGTGATCTAAATAGTATATGTATAAATATATATATATATATATATATATATTTTTTAGTGCATGACAAACACTTATTTTGTGTTTGGAATATGATGGATTATAAAAGTGATTCGTAATTATCTATTTTTAATAATTAAGTCACACCATGTAACAGTGCTTACAGCTGTGAATTTTTTTTCCCTATTGGAAAAGAATATTTACGAATATTAAAATAATTACAATAAAGAAAATAAATTTAAAAAATTAGAGGAAAAAGAAAGCTAAAAAATGAAGCTATGTTTGGTTCCATTTTTCTAAAAACAGTTTTCAGAAAATTTTACTTTCTTATTTTTTGTGTTTTGTTGTTTTTACTAAATTTTTTTTAATATTTTATGCAAATTTTTTACTTTTTAGACGCACCTAACATAAATACACCTAAAAAGTAAAAAAAATATAAAAAAAAATCTTTTAAAAATTCACTAAATACCAAAAATATAAAAAAATACAAGAATTACATTTTTTGTATTTTTATGTATTTCTTAATTTTTTAAAAGATTTTTTCACATTTTTTTATTTTTTAGATACATCTAAGTAAGGTACATCTAAAAAAATAAAAAAAATATTTAAAATTTTAAAAATATTCACTAAAAATAAAAAAACATGAAAATTTCAAAAAACTTAATCCAGAAAACTCAAACCACACACATTGATAATATTTGTAAAATGATAGGCCACATGTAGAGAATAAGTCAAATTTTATCTATTTTATTTTACATATATAACACAACCACCATAACCCATAACACACAGTCATCAAGCTCACATACAAGGAACCTACAGACACTGCAGAGTTTCTCACATATGACACACATAAAAATGTTAGCTATAAAACCTATCACAAGAATAAAATATAAAATACCACTAAGAAATTGATTATCAAATAAATTTTTGCAAAAAAATTCCAATATTATTTCCTAATTCTTTTATCAGAACACTCTACTGTGGAGGAGATCGCCTTTGTCATCCCCATCACCAGCTTTACCACCCATGGCTTCAACTCTCACATTCCTCGCAGACCCATCTCTTCCCTTGTACCGCGAAGCCACCAAAACATACACCAAGAAATTAACCGCGTTAATCCCTGTCAAAATCCAGTAAAAGTAATCGAGCTTGCTTGTATTAAGACTGTTCGTCAGCCACCCATTTTCCACCCCACCCGTCGCACTCTCAACGATCTTCACCAGCGCCGTACTTAGCCAGCTTCCGATCCCAATCTCGCTCAAAAACATCGCGCTGCTAATGCTTCGTGTCCCATCGGTGGCTTCATCGTAAAAAAACTCCAATTGTCCGACATAAGTGAAAACCTCGGCGCTTCCGATGAGGAAGAATTGAGGAAGTAACCAGAACACAGTCATGGGCTTAGGGTGGTGGCGCCGCCTCTTTTCGACGAGAGCGGCCGAGGTGAGAGCGACGATGGAGATGAATAGGCCGACGCCCATGCGCTGGAGGGAGGTGAGGCCGCGGGGGTGGCCGGTTTTGCGGCGGAGGATGGGGACGACGAAGGTTTCGTAGATGGGTACGAGGATGAGGGCGTTGACGGCACTGAAGAAGGGGACTGAGCCGGCTGGGATGAGGAAGTTTGAGCCGAGCTTGCGGTCCATGATGGTCGCTTGGGTGACAAAGAAGGTGGAGAGTTGGGCGAATGAGATGGAGAGAGCTATGGTTGAAGCCCATATTGGGAGGACTCTGATGAAGCATTTGAATTCTTCCACTTGTGTCACTGTGCATAGTCTCCAACGGCTCTTTGTGTTTGCTTCTTCTGGGTCTACTATAATTGCTGCTTTGTCCAAGAATCTGGAAAATAGAAGAACAAACTTCGGACTATGAGTGAGTGTTTGGGAAGTGGATTAAAAACTAATTTTTTAGAATTTTTTTTTTAATTTATAAAAATGTGTAAAAAAGTAAAGAAATAAAAAAATCAAAAAGTCAAAAAAAAAGGCTTTTAGCCGAGTTGCCAAAACAAGCCAATGTGATGCAGGTCCGAGTTGCTCATGATATGCCTAGTATTGGGCTCCCCTACCCAATGAGAATTATTTGGTGGTCATGGGACATGACCATGAGGTGCTTAGGGGTGTGATTGGTGGAGAAGATGAAACTTATAAATTTCTGTTGAAACATGAGAAATCAACAAAGGACATAGTGATTTACTATATGATTAGTCAGGGTATAATCCTGAACCACCAAATAATTTTTCTAACCTAATATCAATAGAATGTGATGACGGCATATTAAATTGTATTTGATTTGAATGAGTTGCCCACTAACCATTGTGTAATTAAAAAAAACTGACATTAAAATTAAAAAACAGTAACTCTGCCAATGTTGGAATGAAAATTGGCAAATATAAGAATAAGTTGTAAATGGTGTACCTGTATTGGACAGTATGAGAAAGCTTTCTGGCACCATGAATAGCGGACTCTCTAGTTTTAACCTCATAAAGCTCAACCTTACCTCCCACTTCAACCCCTCTCATGTGGTTCCTCACAGAAGCCACCACAACCTGAAGAAACCTGGTGAAAGGACTCCCCATTGGTTTCTGATACCGATAGAATCGAAATCCACAAGCCAAGATGAGAATAGAGCAGAACATGGCGACAGTGGGGACAGCAAAGCCCCAAATCCAGCCCTTCTGTTGCTGTAAATAGACGAGGAGGGTGATCCCCAAAAGAACACCCATATTGATGGCGAAGAAGAACCAGTTGAAGAATGCGTACTTCTTGTGGGCTTCTTTATCGTCGGACTCGTCGAATTGGTCAGCTCCGAAGGAGGAGACGCAGGGTTTGATACCTCCTGTTCCGAGTGCTATGAGGGCTAATGCACAAAATAGGAAGCCGTTTTGGGGACCTGACGCCGGTTTGGGTACGCATGGCTTTGTGGCGCACGATGGTGGTCGGAGGTTGTCTAGGGAAGCTGACAGTGTCAACAACACCATTCCCTGAACATAATCAAAGAAAATTTTTATTTTTTATACAATAAAGTTATACCCAAAAAAATAATAATAATAATAATAATTGGGTTGTTAATAGCTTACCACTGCGTAGATGCAAGAGAAAATGATGATGGTTTTGAAGCGACCCAAATATGCATCGGCAAGAAATGCTCCGAGGATTGCAAGAACAAAGGCAGCTCCAATCCAATCAGTGACATGTGTCACTGCATCTGGGATTGATTCATTCATCTCCAACGCCAGGTATCTCACCATGTTCACCGCAATCGCAAAGAATGCTAACCTCTCTGCCACCTCATTCACTACAACAACAACAACAGTGTTGTACCCAAATTAGCTTAATTATTTAAATTATTTAGCTTAATTTCAATGTTTGAGAAAAGACCTATGATGAATGGTGAGGCCTTCCATCCTCCGGTGGTTTGCTTATCAGCCATTCTCCCACGAAAATCAACCGAACCATTGCTGACCAGCGATGTCAAGGAGCTTACCTCCTACAAAACCAGTTTGCATCGAAAGCACGTTAGCATTTAGTTGACACAAAAAAAAAAAAAAAAAAAAAAAAAAAAAAAAAACATGTAATTAAAAAGGTATTACCTTAATGTTTTGCTTATCGACTCCCAGAAAGCCGTTCATGCCTTGGGGCTCCATGTATGAGAACGACTTATCATGAAGAGGCATCTCATCCAGCTCGCCGGCTAGTTCGACTCTATCCATTGATGAAGGATTCAGAACAATTCTGTGAGTTTTGGGGAAATGCAGAAGTACCTATGTCTCTATAGGAGCTCTTTGATTCAAAGTTGAGTAGAAGGATTTTCAAGTGGGGTGTCCTATAAATAAGGTATGGGTTTTTTGCTTTCTCAATCTAATAAGGAGTTTAAAATATGATTTGAATTGGTGTCAAAGGAATCTTTTAATTTGTTTGATCCCAGTTTGGTGTTGAATGTTTCTTGAGTGCTCATCCGGACGTGTATTAAGTTATTGTCTAGCAGCCGGCAAACAATATTAATTTTGTTTTCAAGATTAATTATACATTTTGTTGCATTTTTAATTTTTAATATTTCAATTTTGTTAATTTGGAGTTAAAATAATCTCAACATACCCGCCATTTGAAATAAAAATATAAAATTGCAAGAAAGTTTATAGTCTGGATATCATTTTTTAAATTGTAGTTTTTAAAATATATGTTAAATTGCAACAAGAACATCTTGACTTACATTAATCAATTTGAACAACATGAGGATTGAGGACCATTTAAACTAAAAATTAGTAGTTTGAAGATCAAATTGACAGAATAAAAAAAATGAAAACCAATGTGCAACAGAACACATATCTCTTAGTGCAATTAGTCATGATTTTTTATTATACTCAAACTTAGGGTGCAGGGGTTGAACAAAATGTTGGACAATAAGGTTGAAATGTAGTTACAACTGTTAACACCATAAATCTATAATTTTTATTATTATTTATTATTTATATAATTGCAGGACACGTGGCATCCTCTTATTCATTTGGAAGTTAAAAGAAGTTATAGAGATAATGGAGAATATGAAGGACAAAGTGGATGAGTGGGAGGACAAAGTGGATGAGTGGAAGGACACATGGCAAGACAAGAATGAAGATGGAAGAAATGGGTAGTTACTAAGTAGTTATTGCTGTATTTTTTCTTCTATAAATAGCCATTAATGGCTACATTGTAAAAGGATCCAGAACTTAAATCAAAAACACTTGATTTCAATATTTCTTGTCATTTTCCTTATCTTAGGAGTAGTTTAACATAGATTTATATTTCGAAGCATTTATTTTCAGCATTTCCATTTCGAAGCATTTTATGCACTTCCTTTTGTCGAAGCATAGGAGTAGAGGTACGTAATTATTACTTTGATTGTTCACTCAATCGTCTTTCTCCGTCCCTCTTTCTTCTTTTACTTTTTTTTTTTCTCTACACTTGGCAAATTTGAAGTCCTCTTCGTTGAGGCAAAAGAACCGTCAACACAATCGCTTGATAATTGGCTTGAATTTAATCTGTAAGGATTTTTCAATCCTTGCTGGCACGCTCGCATTTATGATATTTTCCTTCGTAGGAAAAAATAAGCCAACACATAGATATACATTTATATAAGTTAGAAGTAGAACTAGATGTAAATGTACAAGTTCAAGTAGAGTGAACACTTTTGTATGGTGCTGTGATGTTTTAGAGGAAGTTATGTTTTGTTGTGTATTGAAACCTAATTACTGTATATGTACCTCTTTTGTGGTAAGTGGAATGGAAAATGACTTGTTCAAACTTGTACACTTTTGTTGGAAATTCTCCAATGGAATGATGAGTTATCGACTCTCACTACCAAGTCTTTAACTGAGGCTTTAATGGTCGGAATTGTTGAATTTTTTCTGAATTTTTCCATGGTTAAAAATAGTAAAAGCAAAGAGTTGATTTCATCAATGGCTCGGGGGGTTCAAGAGTCCATTTTAAAAGAGCCAAATTATGAAATTAACACAACGAAAGAGCATGTTCTTTACCCAAATTTGGCTAAGAATGATGTTCCATGTATGACTCGGGGGGTCCAAAAACCAAATGTTAGAGAGTCAGGTCATGAAAATAACATATCTATGGGTGATTTTCATAAGCCATTAATGGCTAACATAGAAAAACAACCCACTTTGCCAAATAATTATGAAAACCTATTCGGCAAAAGTCATGTTTTTAAAACAAACATGGTCAAGAATAATGAACAAGCCACTGTTCATGAATTCAAAATTTTTGACACTTTTCAAAATGTCAAAAAGTATAAATTTTCATGGTCACACTATACCATGACTTTTGGTGTTCAAAATCCTTTTTGGATTTGTGGTTCACATCAAAATATAATTATGATGATGTGGCTAATAAAATTAACAAATTGTTCTTATGAGTTCGAAGCACTAAGAACAAGGGATGACCATTTAAAATGCATGAACTTGGCTAGAAAAAGCCTGTGCATTTAAATAAATGACTGAGAATGGCTTATCTTTTCAAATTGATGGCCAATTGTTTGTATGTACACAATCAAAGCATCGAAGATACATTCGAAGCATCAAGAGTTGTTTCGAAGGTTGATTACTTCACATTCGAAGCTGTATAAAACTTTGAAGATACATTCGAAATATCAAGAGTTGTTTCGAAGGTTGATTACTTCACCTTTGAAACTGTATAAAACTTTGAAAACTTTCGAAATGTGTACATCTCTTCAAATATATGTAAAATGACAATTAATTAGTTGTCGAATAATGCCTGTTTTTGGCATCATAAGTTGGCTCGAAGAACAACAGTTTTGGTGTCTTCGAAGAATTAATAATTGGTTCGAAGCACAAAATTAATATTTTCATTAATTCTGTGTGAACCAGAACATATAAGTTTTGAATAAACCACAATGGTTGGCCAAAAACAGCTTTGAAAGCCGTTTTGCCATAAGTTGCTTCGAAAGCCGTTTTGCCATAATTTTGTAAGCTTCGAAGCACTCTATCTTGCATCAACAACAGCTTCGAAGAAATAATAATGGTGGTTGTGAACCTTCGAAACTTTGTCGAGTATTTTTGAGGATGTAATTCGTCTTTTATCGGTTCCATCGACCTTCGAAGAATGATTTTGGTCCTTTATATCACTTTCGAAGCTTGTTACTAGTAATAATTCAAGTCATTTAGTCATAATTTCATACTCATTCGAAGCGCTTTATTGGTGTTGTTACATCATTCGAAGCACTTTGCTGCTTAGGTTAGTCATGTGCTTGGTTCGGCCCTTCAAAAATTCAAATAAACATCATTTTTAAGGGCCGCGGGGGGTAATGTTAACACCATAAATCTGCAATTTTTATTATTATTTATTATTTATATAATTGCAGGACACGTGGCATCCTCTTATTCATTTGGAAGTTAAAAGAAGTTATAGAGATAATGGAGAATATGAAGGACAAAGTGGATGAGTGGGAGGGCAAAGTGGATGAGTGGAAGGACACATGGCAAGACAAGAATGAAGATGGAAGAAATGGGTAGTTACTAAGTAGTTATTGCTGTATTTTTTCTTCTATAAATAGCCATTAATGGCTACATTGTAAAGATCCAGAACTTAAATCAAAAACAATTGATTTCAATATTTCTTGTTATTTTCCTTATCTTAGGAGTAGTTTAACATAGATTTATATTTCGAAGCATTTATTTTCAGCATTTCCATTTCGAAGCATTTTATGCACTTTCTTTTCGAAGCATAGGAGTAGAGGAAAGTAATTATTACTTTGATTGTTCACTCAATCATCTTTCTCCGTCCCTTTTTCTTCTTTTACTTTTTCTTTTCGCTACACTTGGCAAATTTGAAGTCCTCTTCGTTGAGGCAAAAGAACCGTCAACACAATCGCTTGATAATTGGCTTGAATTTAATCTGTAAGGATTTTTCAATCATTGCTGGCACACTCACATTTATAATATTTTCCTTCGTAAGAAAAATAAGCCAACAACAGCCGATGAAGAAACCTTTCAGGCCAACCAAAAAGTGTGGATGAAAATTATATTTTTTAAAGCACCATTTGTTTGTGTTAGGAACTTTTCAAAGTGCCGCCCAAACACTAGGGGACAAACTGGCATGCATATAAGTTTGATAATTATAATCATTGAATTATCCTCTGTTCACAAATTTTTTAATTTTTCTCCCAAAATTTTTGTAGTCATTAAATCATATTTTGAAATTCTTACACATTCGAATTCTCATATAATTTGACAATTGCGAGTGTTTTGAGTTAAAATAGCATAAAATTTTTTGAGACAGAAGATCTCGTGCCATTATTATAAGTTTAGGTAACATAGGCGAAGTTATTGAGTAATCTTTGAGTATTAGTTCATATGACACTTGTTCTACTCTTTTGAAAGACACACTAAAGCAATAAGTCCTATTATTTTAATCAATAAAATTCAAATTGGAGGTTCATTTGTATTTGTCCCTCGAGCAGGCCATGTAATCATCTTGTCTATTCATTAATTTTGTGCTTGAATTTTTTATTTTTGGAGAAAAAAATAAAAGAGAAGGGGTTTGTGGGAAAAAAATAGTTTTTATTTCATTTAAAAATATATAAAAATTACATTAAAATTTTAATTATTTTAACGTTATAATCACTTAATCACAACTTTTTAGGCTATAATTAGCATGTTTTTTGGGGTGAATAATGATTAGCATGTTATCTATTATAAATTACGCAATTGATTAATTTTCAACTCAACAATTGTCTGGTCACCCAATTGCTTGAGCATTCACTGATACAAGTTTTAACTGAATGTCCTGCCCCCAACTGGTAAATCCTAAAATTCAACTGCAACTGTTTGATTTTATTGATTTTACCTAAACATAACACTATAAAATTAGTATAATTTTTTTTTATATTATCATTTTAAAAAATAATTCATTCTCCTTTTTTTTTTTATAAATCCGGATTCATTCTCCTAGTTGAGACCCTCTAATTTCACTTCCATTAACATGTTTATCACATGAAAATACACCCATACTCCTCTCTCTTTCTCTTTCTCTCTCTCACTCATTTTATTTTTTCATTCGTATCATTGAAGATAAAATTAAAAATTCAAATAAAAAAATATAGTTAGACTGTATTTTTTTTTTTATATATATATAGAAGAAAATCTTTTTTTAGATAGGTATATAGAAGAAAATCTAGCCAAATAGTATTCAAATAAAATTATACGTACTATATATATTAATTAATATATTAGGTGTAGCACCACTGATAATATTCTCCTTTCGAAATGAATATTCGATCAGCGTTTACGGACAGCCACATGAACCACACTACACCGCCATGCAAATTGACTCTATTTGACTAGTAGTTAGCTGTCGATATATGCAACAACACTAGAAGATTAGTGTACCTTACCTATTTTTTTTCATTCCCACAACAACTCTTCGCTTCACACTCAAATTCATTTTATTGTCTTGTATAGGTTTGTGTTTGCCTCCTTCATTGATACACACACTCATTACATATACACAACAACAATCGTTTTCTACTTCTTCTTCTTCTTCGTGATTATTCCTAATATAATTATTATTTACGAAGTTTCAAGAACAGGGTTCGGAAATTATTGTGAAAGGGTTCGCGTTTGGAGGTTGAATTTGATCTCTGGATTGGGGAAAACAAAAAACAAAATGGTACCCAAGTGGGTTTGTGCTGGGTTTGTTTATCTCCTTCTTGGTTTGATTTTGAATGTTGCAGAGTTCTGTAATGGTGGAATGACCAGTGGTTATCAAAGACCTAATAACCTCAGTTTTGACATGCCATTAGACAGCGATGTGTTTAGAGTACCTCCTGGTTATAATGCTCCCCAACAGGTTTGCAATCATGCCCCTTGTTCTTCTTAATTCATGAATCTCTGTTTTCTCTTACATGCCCTGTTTGGTTGCCAAGAAAATTTGGGGTTTGTAATAGAATGTAAATTCTCAATCTCGTTCCTTATGTTATGTTGGTTTTCAAATTGAATACCTTAGTATGTGTGTGTGTGTGTGTGTTATGACTTATAGCTTTTAAGTGTTAGTGAGCTTACTTATTTCATTTTCTTGATGTTGTTTTGTTGCCCCATTTCAAAATTTGCAATTTTACACTTGTAGACATTTTTATGACATTCTCTGATTTGACAACGTTGTATTTAAGGTTCATATAACACAAGGAGATTATGAGGGGAGGGGTGTGATTATCTCTTGGATCACTCCCGATGAACCGGGTTCAAACACTGTTGTCTACTGGGCAGAGAACACCGAGCTCAAGAACTGTGCTGATGGCATTGTCGTTACGTACAAGTACTTCGATTACACTTCTGGTTTCATTCATCACTGCACCATCAAGGATTTGGAGGTGTGTGCTCCTCACCAAGGGTATAGATACATCTGCAATTTGAATTTTGGGGTCAAATTAAATTTACAATACTTTGCACTTAAATTCTTTCTTAACATTGCAGTTTGATACAAAATATTACTATGAGGTTGGGATTGGGAACACCACTCGACAGTTTTGGTTTATAACTCCCCCGAAAGTTGGCCCGGATGTGCCTTATACTTTTGGTCTCATAGGTATTAATTTGTTGAACATCAGTTTATTGTGCACATCTAATTCATTACTTTTGTTCAAGAGCTTGGTCATCATGTGGATTTTCACTATTGCCAATAGAACATACGGACATGTGACATGACATGACATATAGGAGACACATAAAAAATATATAATTTTATATGTCATGTGCATAAGAAAGTATTATATATAATGTATATGAATATTTAATTCAAAGATATTAACAAAATGTAATTTAGTACTAATTTCTTAAGCCTAAAAGAGGATAATAGGTATAAATTTATATGATTTTTTTTTCTTTTATCATTCAATTTCAAGTTATTTTATTTAAACTTGTATTGTTTTCACATATGCTTAAGTAATACATGTGTTCCCCATGTATCTTAGGCATATTTAAATAATAGTAGGACAGGTGTCGAAAAGTATATGATGAGTTTTGTGTCGTATCTGTGTCCAACACAACAAGCCATCTTCATAAAAGATTCCATGTTTTTTAGCAACCGAACATAAACGAGGAGTTGATTAAACTATGTCAATTATTTTAGATGAAGTCGGTTGTAAACTTAAAGGATCTTAGTAAACCAATCTATACCTAGTGTAATTCGTTTATTAAAGTTCCAGCAGAGGCTCATACACCACATAAATCTTTATCTCATAAATGCATATTTTATGCATGAGGCAAAAAAACTGCAATGAAATAAAGAGAAACCACTAAATACTTCTGTTTGAACTCGCTTTATTGAGCATTTGTGCAGGGGATCTCGGTCAAACTTATGATTCAAATACGACGCTAACTCACTATGAGTTGAACCCAGCGAAAGGACAAGCATTACTGTTCGTTGGGGACCTCTCTTATGCAGATGATTACCCGTTCCACGACAACAACAGATGGGATACATGGGGGAGATTTATTGAGAGAAATGCTGCTCATCAACCTTGGATCTGGACTGCAGGGAATCATGAAATTGATTTTGCTCCTGCAATCGTAATGTTCCTCTTTTCATTTCTATTTTGTTGAAACAAACATAGAAAATAATCATATTTTGATCTGTTGTTGTTAATACTCAACTCTAACCATGATCACGATGGTGATTGTGTTGCAGGGCGAATCAATACCCTTTAAACCTTATACACATCGTTTTTTCGTGCCATATGAAGCTTCTGAAAGTACGTCTCCTCTTTGGTACTCCATTAAGAGAGCTTCAGCATACATCATTGTCATGTCTTCTTACTCGGCTTTTGGTAAGAATTTATATCATGCACTTCCACCATATCAGTGTGATTTCAGTTGCAGGCTTGACATCAAACTGTATTCCAATAACTTACAAGTTTTGTATTGCAGGGAAATACACTCCCCAGTACAAATGGTTCACAAACAAGGTAACAGAAGTGAACAGGACTGAAACTCCATGGCTCATTGTTCTAATGCATCCCCCAATGTATAATAGTTATGTTTCTCATTATATGGAAGGGGAAACCATGAGAGTGATGTACGAGCCGTGGTTTGTGGAGTACAAAGTAGATGTTGTCTTTGCCGGTCACGTGCATGCCTATGAACGATCAGTAACTGCCCATTCTTCTCTAAATTAAAGTCGGAAACTTAATTGCACGAACCAGCATAGTAATACCAACAAATATTTGCATTACAGGAACGCGTATCAAATGTTGCCTACAACATCATAAACGGATTGTGCACTCCCGTAAACAACCATTCTGCCCCCGTTTACATAACCATTGGAGATGGAGGCAATCAAGAGGGATTGTCAACTGCGTATGTTTTGTTGTCAGATTTCTCATCAATGATTGAATATTTTGATATATGCTGAAATGTACTACTATTTATGCATAAGTACGATAAATTTGAACTTGTAACTTTTGTGCAGAATGACACAGCCACAGCCACACTACTCAGCCTACCGTGAAGCCAGCTTTGGACATGGCATTTTTGACATTAAGAACAGGACTCATGCCTACTTCAGTTGGCATCGGAATCAAGATGGATATGCCATTGAAGCTGACTCACAAAGGTTTCCAACAAGTACTGAAACAATCGGAAGAGTCCTCTGTAGCTTCATCAAGATAAGGGTTTCATTTCGTTTCCTTTGTCCTCTTGAATGGAACCAATTATCAACCCATTATCCGCACTAAAGGATTTATATATCCTTCAATCGTATTGTACTATGGTTCATTGCTTACTTGCTCATTCTAGTAAATTGTGAACATAATTCAATTGAGATTTTGCTTCTCCATAATCGTTGTGTGGAACTGTTAAATTGAGATTTTGATGGTGGAAAAAATAGTTTTTTGTTGACTTTAATTAAATATTAAAGTGGGTCCCAATCATCTATTGTGTTGGGTCTAAGTGGGTTTAGATACTTTGCAATGAGATCTTTACACCACAAATAGTATAGCCAAAACCATTGAAAATTGAATGAGAAATTGTCCCATGAAGTTAGCTTCATGAAAGAATTAATGGGATTTGTAACTCCTGCCTTTATTGCAGAGTTTAATAGTGCATTAATGGGGTTTGTAACTCTTGCCTTCATTGCAGAAATTAATGGTGCATTAGTGACCAGCCATAAAGGCTGGAGGCTTCTCCTCTCTCCCCTATACATGTATAAATTGAGACCCTCCTGTCAAGTCTCCAACACACAGAAATTGTTTCTTCCATTCTTTAGTCAGTTTGCCAGAAAGTTCCTACTGTGAGAGAGTGCTGCCACTATTTTTGTTCACTAAGCTAGACAGAGAGTGCTTCTGCCGCATCTGATTTTTGACCGTCGTATCCTGGGAGACAGACGTCGGGATTCCTCAAGCACTCGACTCGTGAGGCGGCGAAATCTGTTTTAAGGAAACTGCTACCGTGCAGGCTTCGGTTTGGTTTCTTTATCATTTTATTGTTTTGTGTATTTCTCTGTTGAAATTTAGTTGTAATTATCAGTATATGTTTTTGGTATATAATTTTGATTTCTTCATAAATCTATTTAATTAATTTCACAATTTCAACAATAAGCTTAAAACAGATTTTTATATATTTTTTTTTTCTATGAAATTGATCGAATAGATTTATATAGACACTTGTATGATGTTACTAGGAACTGTTGCGGAATTGCTCCCTATTTCAATGATTGTAAATTATGCATTGTGATTCTCTAATTGCTTAAGTTTAATTAGAATGCTCTATCATAATTTGTATACTTAATTGTATTAATCTGATCTTATTTTATGCGTATGGTTCATCATTCCCCTTCTATGATTTGCATGAATTTTAAGGTTATAAAATATAATTTATAGATTTCGCAATTTTGACATGCTAATTCTATTTTAGGTTTTAATTTGTTACATGCTTATTATTTTCTAAACTAGATTACATGATTTAATCTTTAGAATTTTTTGCATGTTAATTGTTAAATGGTTATATACTTGAAGTGCTTAGTTATTAGTTTATTACATATAAACAATTCAAATTATTTACATAAACTGCATGCTACTTGTTTGGTTTCATCCTATTTGACTAATGTTGCATATGTATATTTTGGTTTTGCATGCTTCTAGTTTTACTATCTAATTTGCATGTGAAATTGCTTCTAGTTTTCTAGAGTTATACACATAAGTTATTTCCATGTTTATTATTTAATAATTCTTATATAATTTTTAAGATTTGTAATGTGTGGTTTTATTTCCATTAATAGTGTGTGATTTATTTGGATGAATTAAAGTTTGAATTAAATGTAGTTCTTTGGTTTATAAAATTTGTGTAACTTGCCTATATTTATTTACATGGTTATTGTGAATTAAATTCTTATATAATTTATGGCAATTAATTTTTAATTTAATGTAGAAGTTATAAGGTTTTGTAACTTGTATAGTATCTTAATTCATTAGTTATTTTGCTATTCTATGATTTGCTAGAAGGTTAAATAATATTTGATTGTATGTACAATTGCTTTAGATTAGTTGCTTTATATTATGTTGTTGTTTGCCACTAACTCTCTTTGTAGGCATACCTAAGCGTGGAAAGGCTTTTGGACTAAATAGAATCTTATGGATTGGCTATTTTATTTAAATGTTTGAAGCATGTTTGCTTGAGATGTAGTTGGTTTGTTTACCAATTTGTAGTAGCAAGTTTTATTTGCTTATATTGTTGTAGCAATATTTTACATTGCTTGTAAAAGTTTGGACCTTGGTTTGTTTTAACCTAGTTCATCCCTAAGAAAATTTAATTCTTAAAATCGTTTATCACGGACTAGGAGTCAACATGCTCTTAAAAGTTTTGTCAAAAGGTTAACTGGGTTTTAAGTAGGACCGGTGTGACCTATCCAGTCTTCCTGGGAACTTTCTTGACCATGTTCGATTCTAGGTTTTTGTGGTGAGACTAATTTTGAATTAACTTTTCATCTAAGGGATTTTCTAAGGGTAAGTTTAATTTCTGGAACACAGAAGTGATATTTTGGTGTAATTTTCGAAATGGAAACTATCACTGATACTGCTGCTACTGCTAATATTGGTGGGGATCTGAACCTTGGGGCAACTGGGTTGCCAACCCCTACTGTTGTGACCTCTGTGGTCAACCCTAGCATTACTCCGGTTGTTCCGGGAGGACCGTTTAGTCACCATGAGCGCCCAGAAGAGTTTACTGGGGAAAACTTTAAGAGATGGCAGCAGAAGATGCTGTTTTACTTGACCACACTAAACCTTGCAAAGGTTTTGAGCGAGGATCCTCCAGCCGTGGCAGAGAATGAGCCTGACAGGCAGAAAGTCATGGCGTTTGACACATGGAAGCAGACAGACTATCTTTGCTGGAACTATGTGTTTAACAGCTTGGCAGACTCACTATATAGTGTGTTTTGTTCCAAGAGCTCAGCAAAAGAGTTATGGGAATCTCTGGACAAAAAGTACAAGACTGAGGATGCCGGGGCAAAGAAATTTGTGGTTGGCCGGTTCCTTGATTTTAAAATGATAGATTCAAAAACTGTGATGAGCCAAGTCCAGGAGTTTCAAGTGATCTTGCATGAAATTCATGCTGAAGGGATGCCTTTGAACGAGTCATTCCAAGTTGCTGTGATCATTGAGAAACTTCCCAATGGTTGGAAGGATTTCAAGAACTACTTGAAGCACAAGTGCAAGGAAATGTCAGTTGAAGAGCTGGTTGTCCAACTCCGAATTGAGGAGGATAATAGAAAGAAAGGAGGAAGTACCTCCTCAGTAAAAGCCAATTTCATTGAGCATGGCAAATCTTCTGAGATAAGAAAGAAGCCCCTGTGAACAAGGGCTCTAAGTTGGGGCCTAGAGGTGGTGTTGCAAAGAAGCCGGCTTACAAGCCACCGAAACCAAGTTATCGGTTCTTTGGGAAGTGTTATAACTGTGGTAGCGAAGGGCATCGGGCTAGTGACTGCCGCAAGCAGAAGAAGCCATACAAGACTAAACCTCGTGCTCATATGGCAGATTTACAAGAGCACTCACATGAGGAGGATGATATGCACTTGTCTGCCGTTGTCTCTGAGGTGAATCTGGCGGGTTCAAACCCAAGAGAATGGTGGATTGATACTGGGGCTACACGCCACATCTGCTCCGAGAAGAAGCTGTTTACAACTTTCGAGCCGGTTACAAATGGTGAGAAGTTGTTTATGGAAAACTCTACTACCTTGATTGTTGAGGAGAAAGGAAAGGTGGTCCTGAAGTTGACGTCAGGAAAAGAGCTAACCTTGAACGAAGTCCTGTATGTTCCGGACATTCGTAAGAATCTTGTCTCAGGGTCTCTTCTCAGCAAACATGGTTTTCGCATTGTTTTTGAGTCCAACAAGGTCGTTTTGACCAAGAGCGGAGTGTATGTGGGTAAGGGTTATATGTTGGGGGGTATGTTCAAACTCAATGTAATAACTGTTATCCCAAAGATGAATAAAGATGCATCTTCTTCTGCTTACATGCTTGAGTCTTCTAATTTATGGCATGGTAGACTAGGACATGTGAACTTTGAATCTTTACGTAGATTAATCAAGTTAGATCACATACCATCTTTTAAGATTAATCCAAAACACAAGTGTGAGACTTGTGTTGAAGCGAAGTTGACAAGATCTTCGTTTCATTCTATTGAAAAAAGTTCAGAGCCATTAGACTTAGTGCATAGTGATGTGTGTGACTTAAAGTTTATACAATCACGTGGTGGCAATAAATACTTCATCACTTTGGTTGATGATTGCACTAAGTATTGTTATGTCTATTTGCTTAAAAGCAAAGATGAGGCTATTGACAAGTTTATTCTTTATAAGAATGAAGTTGAGAATAAATTAGGCCGCAAGATTAAGGCTTTAAGAAGTGATCGTGGTGGTGAGTATGAATCACCGTTTATTGAGATTTGTGCTCAATCTGGGATTATCCACCAAACCACGGTACCTTATTCTCCTCAATCAAATGGGGTTGCTAAGCAGAAGAACAGGACGCTAAAGGAAATGATGAATGCAATGTTGATAAGTTCTGGATTACCACAGAACATGTGGGGGGAAGTAATTCTCTCTGCAAATTAAATTCTGAATAAAGTACCCCGGAAGAAGGTGGACAAGACGCCATATGAGTTATGGAAAGGTGTTAAGCCTTCGTATAAATTCTTACAAATGTGGGGGTGTCTTGCAAAAGTGGCAATTCCTACACCCAAACGGGTTAGGATAGGCCCGAAATCCGTGGATTGTATATTCATTGGTTATGCACATAATAGTAGTGCATATCGGTTTCTTGTACATAAGTCTGAAATTCCAGACATACACAGGAATACCATCATGGAGTCAAGCAATGCATGTTTCTTTGAAGACATTTTTCCTTGCCAAACCCATGAAGGGGTTCCAAGGTCTTTGGAGCAATTTGATGAGCTTATTAGTGATGATGATCATGTTGATGATCAAGGTGATGATCAAATTGAGATTTTAGATGAGCTAGAAGGAATAAAAGGGCTAGGATATCTAAATCTTTTGGTCCAGACTTCTTGACTTATATGGTTGAGAACGAACCTCAAACTTTTCACGAAGCTGTGACTTCTCCTGAGAGTCCTTTATGGAAAGAAGCAATCAAAAGTGAGATTGACTCCATCTTACAGAACCACACCTGGGAGTTGGTAGATTTACCTCCAAGTTGCAAGCCTTTTGGCTGCAAATGGATTTTTAAAAGAAAGATGAAGGCCGATGGATCAATTGACAAGTATAAGGCGAGGCTCGTTATCAAAGGGTACAGGCAACGAGAAGGCCTGGATTACTTTGATACGTACTCACCTGTAACTAGGATAACATCCA